CCCACTCTTTTCCACACTTGAACACTATGCTCCACCGCTAATGTTTTCTCCTGAGCTCTTTCAATAGCTTTGGCTCTGTTTATAACTTCTTACATACTCAGCAAGTTCAAGGCCATCATCATCTCTTTCATCTTCGACCTTAAACCCTCTATGAACCAATCACGTCCGGCCTTATCATTTGACACAATTTCAGTGGTAACGACTCAACTTGTTGTATTCTGCCTCAAATTCATGGACGGCTCGGTCACCTTGCTTTAAACTAAGGAACTTCATCAACATTGCTCATTTGAACTACTCACCATATACTTGTTTTTGAATTCTTCCTGCAAAAATTGCTATTTGCTCCGGTTTTGCATACATCATAGTATTGGACCACTATACTCGAGCTGATTCTCTCATAAAAGATACAACTCCTCCCAACTTCTCCTGATATGAATATTGCAGGCTTTCAAGCATTATCATCACATCATTTAACCATATATCTGCTTCCATAGGACCCACACCCTCATCTCCTCTGAACTCTGGAGCTCCTAAACTCTTCAACTCATTTGGAATCAACATTCGAAGTACTGGAGGAGCAGGGGGAGGTTGAAACCGAGTCAGTATATCATCAAGGGCTTGCATGAAAGTTCCAAAATCAGGTGCTGGAATACCTTGAGGTGCAAGTGCACTTGCATTTTTAGAAGGAAGAGGTTGTGCACTATTATCCTCATAACTTTCACTCCCTGTTCCCTCTTGCATTTCTTATTCTCCCGCTCTTCGTGAGTTCGATGATTCTGACATCTAATAAAACATTCATAATAATAACAATACCATTAGTAAGAAGTGTTATCAATCACCTTCTAATGATACCATCTTAGTAACATTTACAACTTTATTGGCATGTAATCCTTTTTTCTATTTTAAAATAGAACTAGATTTGGCCGAGAATCGGCTAAACATATAGCTCTAATACCAATAAATATAACATCCATATACGTATATATGCTTCCAGATACGTATACAATTGTCACATTACTTTAAAAATGTTTTACTAATTTTGTAAAGTCTTTAAAATTTTGTTGTAAACTTAATTTCCACATAAATAAACATAATAAATAAGTATTCATTAAAACACATTACAATATGTTATGTTAAATTTAATTACATGCCAACAAGTTTACAAAAGGTTTACTACCGTCCTATTGTTATTGGTGAGTCAACCTTGGTGAATGATATCTGCTGTTACGGCTTCACTCCTTACTTGATTAATTCGGATGTTACCTAAGCGTGGAAATACACATGTTAAGTATAACTTGGTGAGTCATAATAAAATAAATAACCTTTTGGTATTCATATATATTTTATTCTCCATTTATCATAATCATTTGTCATAATTCTTTCTTTTCATTTGTAACCTCCATTTATGTTTATAATACACTATTATGCACTTTAAACTATAACATCTTTTATGTTTATAATGCACCCATATGCATTTCAACTATAGTACTTTTCTATTGATAATGTACCCATATACATTTCAACCATAGTATATTTTTCTGTTGATAATTTACCCATATACATTTCAACTCTAGCATACATTTCTGTTGATAATGCACCCATATGCATTTCAACTCTAGCATACTTTTCTGTTGATAATGCACCCATATGCATTTCAACTCTAGCATACTTTTCTGTTGATAATGTACCCATATACATTTCAACTCTAGCATACGTTTCTGTTGATAATGCACCCATATGCATTTCAACTCTAGCATACTTTTCTGTTGATAATGTACCCATTTACATTTCAACTAAAGTATGCTTTTCTGTTGATAATGTACCCATATACATTTCAACTATGGCATCTTTTCATGCCATGCATTAGTATTTTCATTTCTTTTAGAGCAATTCATACTCTAACTCATACACAATATCATTTCCATATATTTAATAAAACATAGTAATTACAGTAAAACATACATTAACAATTAAACAATTCATATTAAATAATTGCTAATCATTTTCATCTAGATTGCCCACAATTAATAAATGTACTCACCTGGCTTTCCTCGCTAAGTGTCCAAAAAGTAAGGATGACTACTCCGGGACTTTGCCCTTTCCCTTTGTTTTTCTTGTCTTGGGAGTTTGGTTCCAATCTAATTCAATCATCCATTAAAATATGTGATAACTCAATGTTAGTATACTTTCTAACCATTGTAATTAAATCATATTCAAAAGAATATATTATTAACTTTCTATATCATCATCAATCCATTTTTAACATTTCTGGTTATGAAGTATCGATACTACTACCCTAGTACCGATACTTCTACACTAGGGTACCGATACTCCTACCTGGTATCGATACCAAAATTATATTTGATGTTTGCTTGGTATCGATACCCTTACAAGTATATCGATGGTGCCTCAATTTCATCTCGTTTTAGCATATATTATCGGTACTGTTCTATCAGTACCGATACCCCTACCCAGATTTTTCAGTTTTCAACCCGATTTTCATCCAAATGAGGTCAATTTTCGTTATAATAACATCCTACAATACTATGAAGCTCTTCTTTAACTATCCATACTAATTTTCCTTCAACTTATTTCATAAAACATCAAACATCTATCAAGAATACTAAGTTCTAAGAATCATACTACTTTTTCTAACGTGTTTCTAATCCAATCCATTGCTTCTAATCTCTCATTTAACTCTATGACAAGTCAAATTTATCATAAAACATATCCTTTCTAAACCCATTTTATGAAATGCCGATTATTTCCTTTATCTCTTTATTTTAATCTCATCTAATCCTTCCTTATGCACATATATCGCTTAATGATACCAAAGTAACCCATAATTTAAAGAAAACACTAACAAATGAGAATTTACCTTATGTTAGGGAGAAGAGAGCTCCAACGTGAATAAGAAGAAGATAAGAAGTATAGGAAAAATATCTTACTTTCCTCTTTCTTCCTATTTAAACATCCCTGTCTATTTTTAATTTCATTTCCTCTTAAAGACTAAAATGCCCTCTTAACTTTTCTATTGATACAATTTAGTCTACACACTAATCCAAATCTTTTTTTTTCATCTTTTACTACTTATTCCATTTAAATCTTAAATTTTCCAATCTTTTCGATATAGTCCCTGGTCTAATATTTGGGATATTACAGTTCTTACTGCTCCAAATTGATTCAAATTCATTTTCTTGGTTTTTATTCGATTTGGATGCTTACTTGTTGCAGCATTAAAATGAAAAAAGGACTTTAGGGTTAGTTTAATCAACAAATTGCAATTACTTTGCCCCTGTTTGTTTCATAACCTTGTCAAGTTTTTCTAGTAAAAGAAAAAAAATATGTTAAAATCAAGTCAATTGCATTTGTATAATAATATATGCAATCAAGAATTATGATTTAATATTTTTTTTGCATTGAAATATTTTTCTTCTGTGTTTGGTTGATTTTTCTATTTGCCCTTTATTTTTCAGAAGTAGCTTAGTTTAAAAAAATCATAAATTGATCAAGTATAACACATATCGAAGCATAATTGTTCTACATAAATGCAAAATTAAGCATTTGTTTGTTCTCAAAACATAAATATATTTGAGTACCTTTGATTGTTTCAGAATATTATTTGCTTCTCTACTGAAAGTCTGAAACACACTTTCTACTTGTGGTAGCAAAAGAGAATTATGAAGCAACAATGAACCTTAGTTGATTGAAGTCCTTCTGATCGTACATGGCATGACTATGTATTTTCCCCATTAATATGATAATAGTGCTCTATTTTTGTATATATGTGAAGAAACTTTCCAGTACTTTTTGATCAACACTGATAAGTTTAGTTGGATTTTGGTGCCTAAAATTAGTAAACAAACCGACGAACTGGACTGTTTATGTTTTTTTTTAATACAAGTTGGACTGTTTATAAAATATTAACTAAATTCCTTTTTATTAATATTTATCCCAAAATTATAGTACCAAATAAAGCTCCATAATTGTTTTCATTCCTCTCTTCTCTCAGACTCTATGGAATTTTTTTTCTTTCCTTCAAACCAGAGCACCTTCCCTGGGACGGATGCAGGATCGAACTTATAAAATTCTGGGAATGACTGATTATTAATATAAAATACAAAGAGAAAATCTAAAATATACAATAAATTGAAATTTTAAGGGAGCGATTACCACCACCACCTGTCCATCCTGCACCTGCTTCCACAGGATCTACATCTTGTCAGCAACTCCTCTCATCCTTTGATCCTGTTGCTGTTGTAGTCAACTTGCTCCTTGTTCTCATTGCCTTCCTCTTCGGGATTTTTTTTATTTTTTTGTTTTTTTTTAATATTTTACTCTCCATAACCTGCTTTCACTTTGAAGTGAAAAGACATGTTAGTACTTCTCTCTCTCTCTCTTTTTTTTTTTTTGGTAAACTTATGTTTTTCTGATTTTTTTGGTTTTCTATTTATTTTTGAATTGGATTGAAAATTGTATTTGGTGCTGGAATTTTGGTGGTATTGAAAAGCAGACTCAAAAGTTTTTGAAATGATTTTTGGCAGCTATTGGTAACTGATGGTTTCCAATATTGGTAGTTGAGTGTTTAGGTATTATGGGCTTTGAGGTTTTGTCTATTTGTAATGGCATGCGTGTGGAAGACCAAGGGAGTAAAATTACTTGGGAAATAACTGAACCTGACATAGTTAATTAAGTTTGGTTATTCTTTGTTACCCATACCTGAGTTAGTTGGTTTGGTTACCCTTAAGTTAGTCTGTTTAATTTTTTTTAAATTTAATGGAATAAGCAAAACCAAACAAATGCTACCGGCCTTTCTTGGCCTTCTCTATTCAATTTAGGTATTGAAAATTATTTGACTATCATAAAACAATTAGCTTATTGCAGCATTCTAATGGTCTTGTTTTATGCAGTGAAGATAACGGCAGTGGGGATGAAGATGAAGATATGGATGCTGAAGCTGAGAAGAAAACTGGGGATGTTGCCCAAGCACTTGCTATGTGAAGAACAAGTCAGGGTCACAATTGGAAGATCTTACAGATGGCTTGAAAGAACTTGACATGGAAAATTATGATGACGAGGATGATGGTATCTTTGCTTGGATGATCTACTGGTCTTATTTGCTTCTTCCATTTATTTTGTTGTTGTTGGAATGGATTACTCACAGTTTATCATGGAACATTTCCAAATGGTTGAGTTTGACATTAATTACGACAAGCTATGCCTTGCTGTGTGTGATTTTTTTAAACTTATTATTATTATTTTATGTAGCTATTGAAGCATCTAACAATTCTTGCTATTAGGTATCGAGTTATTTAGCAAGAGGCTTGGTGACCTTTACTACCCAAGCAATGAAATGGTTCCATATTTGAAGGATGAGGATGTAAGAATGACAACTTACATATTGTATGGTATGCTTTTATGACTTCTTCAGCTTCTGATGCTAGGAGAATTTTCAGGATGATGATTCAGAAGAGATTGAGGACATGACCATAAAACCCATGGATTCTGTTATAGTTTGTGCACGCATTGAAGTTGATGTCAGCCATCTTGAGGTATTTTGGCGTCTCTTTCACTCTATATATGTACTTCAATTATTCAATTTTGCACAAAAACTCAGACATAAAATATTCTAAGCATTCATTGTGCACTATTTTTGTACAGGTTTGGATATATGAGGATTCCGATGAAGGTGATTCAAACATGTATGTTCACCATGATGTCATCATTTCAGCATTTCCCCTTTGCACTGCATGGCTTGATTGCCCACTCAGAGAAGAAGAAAAAGGTTTGACATTTGTGTTTTTTTCCTTTAGATTTTTTTGGGGGGTGTTTAGATAGTTCTGTGTTTAGAAACACTTCCAAATACTTAATTTCATGCTCGTTTTGATGGATTTATATATCCTAATATCCTAGTGCTTGAGCTTAATGTACTTGGTTGCATGTTAGAATATAAATCTTTTGAAATCTTATGAATGGGGATCATTCACCCATATGTTGGCATGTTTAATAGTTTCAACTTCACATGTTTCCTTGTCCTTTTCCATTGCAGGAAATTTTTTGGTTGTTGGTTCAATGGAGCCATCAATAGAAATATGGGACCTTGACATTGTATGTTATTGCAAATTTAGTCTTTCTTGGTTCATAGGTATTTGTGTTATCAAAAGATGAATTATTCAAAATCCCTTATTATGTTTTACTTTTCGCAGATCGATGAAGTATAGCCATGTTTAGTATTAGGTGGCACAGTAGAGAAGAAGACAAAGAAAGGAAAGAAGGTTTGCTACTGAATTCCTTCCTGATTTGTTGCCTTTACTGAAGTTCTTAATTCTTTTTTCATAAATATTACTTTTTGCTTCTGGATTTCTAAATGAATTTCATCATGCAATAGAGTAGAGGGTTGTCTAGAGGAGTTGATTCTTTGTTGGATGTAACATTTATTGTTTGACTCCAAGTTGTCTTTCAAATAAATGTTCTTGTATGTACTCTAGGGACTTGTCAAGGGTAGTACACTTTTGTAGTGTAGGGCAAAAGGCGCACTAAGGCAATAGGTGTTTTATAGCCAAGGGGTAGGGTACAAGGCGCGCGCCTTATTGAAGTGAGGTACACATTGTAAAAATAAAAGATATACAAGTTTTTTCCGGTTGTATAATCGAACAAAAAGAATAGTTCATACAATATAAATACCAAAGAGTATTCATTATCAACATTTATGTATTAAATATCACTTTTGTTCCATCAACCATTGAACCTTGAGAACCCAAACAAAACCCCCCTTCCTTCCTTGGTCCACAATTCCACATAAGAAACTGAAACAATAAATAAAAGTCTAATAATGAGTTGGCATCAACTTCTTACTTGTCTCTTTCTTGTCCCTCCACCTCGCGCCTCTCAACAAACGTGTCTTGCTCCTTGTTAACACCACCTACACCCTAAATCCCTCCTTTATACACCCTAATCCTCCATTTTCGTTTGTCTAAATTGTGTTTCCAATATTTCTTTCTTTCTCATGGAGTCAAATTTCACTATGTGCTAAAGGTGCTGCTCAAGAACCTATTACTAAACAACACTAACTGAAACCTATCTTTTCCTCCCTCGATTTTCAATTCGTTCATGCATGCCTCTTTCATTTTGTATGCTCAGCCGGTTGTCTTTATTAAGACCAAAAATGGCCTCTATTCATCCCCTTTGTTTCTCTCTTTCAAACTCCAAGACAAACAATAATTATATAAGGTAAAGCACCCCCCTTTTATCTATATGTCACACCAAATTTTCATATATCTCTCATGAAACTCTCTTTTCTAATCAGCCCCACCATATTTTACTCTTTTCTTCATTGACATTTCATTTTTACTTCTTTTTGTTGTTGATATATAAGTTAGTGTGTAAAACATAATAAAAAAAATGTATAGGCGGCGCCTTTTTGCTCCTCGACGCCTACTGCGCCTTAGGTCGGCGATTTGACCTAACTGGCACCCTTTGAACCTAATATGCCCTATTTAACACCGATTGACCAATATTTCCTGAAGTAACACCTTTTCGGCTGAGGTGGCACAAAGGTGCATCCCTGGGGATGCGCTTTCACGGGGTTTTGCTGAGTCGGATGCCACGGGGGTAAGGCGTCTCCACGGGAACGCGCCTTCCACTAAATGCCATAAATGCCCACCCATTTTTTCCTCACCTACCACCCTCCTCCTTCCCTATATAAACCCCTTCAACCCCCTTATTCTTCACACCAAAACATCTCTTTCTCTCTTATATAACTCAAATTCTCCTTTCATTTGAGTTTTAAATTTCTTATTAGTGGTAAGAAATTTTTGTTTAAGTTAGTCTTTTTTTTAAATAGTTGTCATATTTTTTTATTATTATATTAATATAAATAAAATAGTATTTATTCAAACTTCACATAACATTTTAATTTAAGTTATGAACTTAAAGTTATCCATATGTATGATTTAAGTTATGAACTTATTGAACTTCCAAAAAGTACTTAAATTTAGGTTATAATTTACCCGATTTCACCACTTTGCTTTGTCTCCGGGGACATGAGTGACATAATAGGGCAATGATAACATATTCTCTGACAAAATAATAGAAGGCGCGCCCCCGAAAACGCGCTTTCACCGCTTTGCTAAGTTGGTTTCATGTTATGCAAAGACTTAATCCCGGGACAATTGTTGAGTTCGAAACTCAACATCATTACGTGAATGATCGAGTAGTTCGCGATCACTACCAATTCTACCGTGTCTTTTGGACTTACCCTCAGTGTATTAATGCAGTGAAGTATTGTAAACCAGTTGTCCAAATTGATGGTACTTTCTTGTATGAGAAATACAATCAAGTTTTATTATTGGTTGTGGTCCAAGATGGTAATTGCAATATTCTTCCTGTTGTGTTTTCCCTCGTTCAAGGAGAAGACACTGAGTCTTGGGCTTTTTTTCTTAAAAATTTACGTTTACATGTTGTCACAAGGGAATGAGTATGCATTATTTCAGACCGAGGAGCCGGGATAAAAGCAACAATGGACTCTTTGGGTCCAATGTGGAAACCTCCACATGTTCAACATCATTATTGTGTCCGTTATAATGCTGCAAACTATTATGGAAAATACAAGAAGAACGATGAACGTCAGTTAGTCGTGAGCATGGGTATGATAATTTTTTTTCCAATTTTTCAATCATTTTCGTATTACTTATTTATACTTCATATTAACTATTACATATTCCTAATGGCTTAGGTTACGAACTCTTACCTCAAAGGTTTGAGTCTATGCTACAAGAATTGTTTGGCAAAAATAAGAAGGGGTGCGAGTACATTATGGACATCAACAAAGAAATGTGGACAAATGCGTATGACGGGGGATATCGCTTATGATCATATGACAACCAACTTGGTTGAAGCAATCAATTCAACCTTAAAGGGGGTGCATCATTTACCAGTCACGGCGTTGTTCAAAATGATTTATTTTCATTTGGGTCAACTCTTTGCAAAGCTCGGTGGACAAGATCTTACTTGGATGCAGAACGATCATATTTACTGCCCAAGACTAGTAGTTGATTTACAGAAAAAGTGGCTGCATCAAATGAGATGTTGGTTACAAATATTTCTTGCACCCGTGAATTGTTTCGTGTAACCGAAATGCCACGTCCGTGCAAGGGATTGAAGCTAACTCTTTCAGAGTTAATCTGCAAGAGAGGTGGTGTGATTGTGGTTTCTTTCAAGCATTCAAATATCCATGCTCTTATGTCATTGCAGCTTGCTCACATTCGCATTTGGATTACAAAAATTATGTTGCTCTCGTATACCAACTTCCAGAAGTATTCAAGGTATATGAATTTGAGTTTTCACCCATAGGTAACGAAAGAGACCCGGATGAGATTCAAACTTGGCTTACAATTGTACAAGATCTGTTGCTATTGAGGGACTCAAGTCGTCCAAAATCCACTAGAATACACTGTGATATGGATATTCGGGAGAAACATCAGGCAAAATAGAAAAAATGTCCAACTCTGTTATCATCACATAACCGATTTCTTTTAATTTAGACTAAATATGTTTAGTCTTATTTAATTGTATTTTGACTTGCCATGTTTTTACATTTTCATTCGAGACCATTATAGTTTATATGTGCATATATACCCGATTTCTTTTAACCCTTATATAGGTCAAATTTAATGTAGCATGTTGTGAAATTTATATGGTATTGAACATTGTTAAGTTAGGTTTATGCATTCTTTTAAATTTTATTTAAATTAATCTAGATAAAATGGCATGTTATTTAATTTATTTTTGTGTGTGTTTATATAAGCATGTTTGTTTGTACATATAGATTCAGGTTTTACTTATCCCTTCAAAATTAACATGTGTAACACCCTCATAAGTATAACTCGACTTGATTTAAATAATTGGACTAAGGGTAATACCTTTTCATTTTAAGGTCATCGTGGAGTGACTATCTTAATGTATAAAAAAGTCATTTATGATAATCTTAAGATGAAAGTTTATCCCGTCAAGTGGAACCCTAAAAAGCAACCACACTTGAAATTTGGGAACGAGTGAATAAGGAATGTTTGTCTATTTAAATTTTTCAAGAAAATATCGTTAGAACTTATAAAATGTTCATTCTCAACGTCTTTAAATAATCAAATATCCTTCTTCTTTCTAAAAGGATTAATAATTTTATTTAATTTGGTTTTATTTTATTTCTTCATTATTCATGCAATTTAAATTAATAATGAATTTTAGAATAAAATAGTAATATTTCTTTATTTTGATTGGAGTGAGAATTGAATACTTTAAGGCATGAGAGGTATTTTCTTCTCGATGGGAAATAATTAAATATTATTGTGTTTCGTCCTAAAATTGAAAGAATATTATTTGAAGGAATCTTAAAATAAATTAAATTTGAACTCGTAAATTTCATTACAAAGACAACTAATTAATCGACTAGGTACCGACTTAGGGCGCTATGGGGGTTCTAATCCTTGCCCACACATAATCGACTCCTGAACTCAATTTTTGGTATGTAGACCTAAGACGTTGTTTTAATAAAATTAAAATTATTTTTTATTAAAATGAAAACCTTTTTGGGTGCCCAATCACACCCTAATCAAATATTAGTGGCGACTCCTCGAACTATTTTTAACTTTAAAAAGGAAACACCAAATTAATCGA